GACGAGGAGGAGGACGAGGAGGAGGAGGAGGAGGAGGAGGACGAGGAGGAGGAGGAGGAGGAGGAGGTGGAGCGAGGAGGAGAAGGAGGAAGAGGAGGAGGAACATCCGCCCCCGCAGCCTTCAGACTCCTGGTGGATCCTCCCGGAGAGTGGACGACGAAGAAGTGCTCACGCTGGACGGGCGACCTCCCCCGCAAACCCTGGACGGAGCTGCCGTCTAGCAGTCCGCTCTTGCGGAGTTCCTCCGCCTGCTCGATGGGCCCCTGGAGTTTTGGTGTTCCAACCTACTTTAGCCTTGATCACCAGAAAGAATTTCGAGCACCAGCAAAATTCCGAAACTCGAGGGTTTTTACGTGTCGGGCCCTGGGAGACCTTCGTCCGACATTGTTTCGACACTACTTCGACACGCTTTCGACACTTTTCTGGGTGCTCGGAAGTATTCCCGGGATGTGGTCCTTAAGTACGATGGGAGCAACATAACATTGGAGGATGATTTGTTTCGTCGCCCCCTTCGTGGTGTCGTCGGCCGACGTCTTGGAGCCCCCGTCCTTTTTGTTCGTCTTCTTGGCCTTCTTTTGCCTTCTTCTTGCCAGCGCCGCCGATGTAGAAGCGCTGCGAGCTTCCACCAGCATCACCCCCCCGAAGACCGTCGCGAAACCCACGAAGCGCCCGCAGGACCTCAGGAAGGTTCGTCTTGCCATCGGCGCTCCAGTTCACGTCGTCAATGATGCTCATCTGCTCATCGTCCGCGAGGTCCATCCCGAGCAAACCCAGGACAAGGACGACACCGCTGGAGTCGACCCTCTCGGCCGCGTCCACGCCGAAGAAGCCAGCGCCTCGCCAAACGCCGTATCATCCGAGCAATGGCTCGACACCACCCGTACGAATTCCGACATGCAGATGAGCCCGTCCTCATTCTTGCCCGCCTCGTTGATCGTGTCCTGCAGCTCCGTCTCGCCGAATTCGCGGCCCAGCATCTCCAGCGCGATCCCGAGCTCCCACGTGCTGACGGCAGGGGCCCCCTTCTCCTCGATGAAGAGATCCGTGAGCCCGCCATCTGGTATGGTCTTCATGAGGCGTGTCTCCCTGCCCTCATGATCCTAGATTTCGGTGCTGGTGGCAATATTCCGGTCCTTGGAAGCCAGAACATTACCTCCTCCTCCTCCTCCTCCTCCTCCTCCTCCTCCTTCTCCATCCTCCATCCTCCTTCTCCATCCCCCATCCTCCATCCTCCCTCCTCCATCCTCCCTCCTCCTCCTCCCTCCTCCTCCTCCTCCTCCTCCTCCCTCCTCCTCCTCCCTCCTCCCTCCTACTCTCCTCCTTCCCTCCTCCCTCCTCCTCCTCTCCTCCCTCCTCCTCCCTCCTCCTCTTCCTCCTCCTCCTCCTCCTCTCCTTCCTCCTCCTCCTCCTCCTCCCTCCTCCTCCTTCCTCCCTCCTCTCCCTTCCCTCTTCTCCCTCCTCCTCCTCCTCCTCCTCCTCCTCCTCCCCTCCTCCTCCTTCTCTCCACGGCTGGGACCTCGACCAACGGCCTGGCCGCGCCCGGCCCGACTCCGGGCAGCTCCGCCTCCTCCACCTTCGGGTCCAGGGCGCGCCCGCGCGCGCTCCTCCTCCTCCTCCTCCTCCTCCTCTCCTCCTCCTCCTCCTCTCTCCTCCTCCTCCTCCTCCTCCTCCTCCTCCTCTTCCTCCTCCAAAAGTCCTCATCCTCCTCCCTCCCCTCCTCCTCTCCTCCTCCCTCCTCCTCCTCCTCCTCCCCCCCCTCCTCCTCCTCCTCCTCCTCCTCCTCCTCCTCCTCCTCCTCCTCCTCCTCCTCCTCCTCCTCCTCCTCCTCCTCCTCCTCCTCCTCCTCCTCCAAAAGTCCTCGCCCAGCACCTCGGCATCGCTCGGACGTGTGCACTCTCGGCGGGAACCATCGGAGACCATCCTGGACCATCGAGCAAAAAATAAAAAAAGCACGCGCGTGACACCGAAGAATGATCGGGAAAGGGACGTCCGAGCGACGGCAGGGCACCAGCGGCAGGAAGCCGGCCTCCCGCTTCTTCTCCTCCCGGCGGTCCCTCGTGGCGCCGACCGCCGCCGAGGCCCGGGGTGTCCGCGGCCTCCGGCCCCCCGGCAAGGTCCCGCCTGGACACGGCCGTGGCCCACTGCCCCGAGGCCCTGCGCCGGCTTGTCCTCCAGCCGCATGTGTCGGGCCGGGCGAAAGGGGGGGATTGGGAAAGGAGGGGTTACGAAATTTGCTGCATGCAGCTGGTTTCGGCCTCACCGAGGGGCCCATTCCTCGATACATCGCCGCCTCCGGCGCCGGGAGGCGCTGGGAAAATCAGCTACGTGAGCTGATTCTCAAACCCCCCCTTTGCTATCCCCCCTTTCGCCCGACCCGAATGTGACACTGGCCTCCCTGCGGTGGCTGTCCTCCTTGATGTCCTTCTGGGGCCCTGGCTGTGGCGATGGGGCGGGAAGCGGCTCGTGAGCTCCAGGACGCTGGAGTCCAAGTTCCTCGTCTCCCCCCTCCTCCGCCTTCTCCTGGGAGTCCACCTGCGCTGTCTCGTGTGTCTGAACCCACTGGCCCGCTTTGTCGATCACCCCGCCCTTGCGTTGCCAGGCTGCCAACCGCTTGAGCTAACGGTGGTCGCTTCGGGGAGGAGACATTCTTATTTTTATTCTACTTCAGTTTTTCTTCGCGTACTTCTTCTTGAACTTGAGCGGTCCGTAGCCCATGTCCAGCTCCTCCAGCGACTTCGCACGCTCCCTCGCCTGCGTCAGCGTGCTGGCGCTGACCATGTCCGCCCCGGGCAGCGGCGCGGCTGCCACCGAGCGGGCCCTCTTGGCAGACGAGCGCGGAGATCTGTTCCCCGCCGAATCCGTCCGCAAACTTCCGCGGGGGCCTGCCCACGGACTCGAGGTGAGAGTGGAGCACGTACGCGTGGAGGATCATCTTCAGCGCATGGCTCGGGCGTGCGACGACGCCCCTCCGAATCGCGCCCGCCCAACGTCTCCCTCGAGGCGGAAAGGCCTGGAGGAGGAGGAGGAGGAGGAGGAGGAGGAGGAGGAGGAGGAGGAGGAGGAGGATTATAGTAGAGCGGCCGCAAGAGCGGCCATCACCCCAGGAGAGGCACAGAGGCCCCCGCCTGACATGGTGGCCACCGACGGTTCGGATAATCTCGTCACCATCTAGAAGAAGGATGAGATCGGCGGCCCACAATCGTTCCCGCCCCGCCTCCTCACCTCAGCCAGGGCGCACGTTGGCGTACGTGGCACAGTGATGCATGGGGATACCCAGTCGGACCAAGCCGTGGGTCATCGTGCAGATGCCTTGCATCGCCAGTGCTGGCCCATCGCGCTTCGAGCGTCAAAGTCCTCAGCTTTTCTCAGCCTCCCGCCCCGCGGAGCGCAGCGTCACGCCACCCGCGTGCAGAGCACAGCATGTCGCCGGGGCCGCCGTCGCCGCGACACCCTGCGCGAACGCTGCTGACGCCGCAGCCATTTCAATTTCAGGGTCTGCCCTCAGAGGCACGCCAGACGAGGCCGCCAGCGTCACGCAGTCCGCTTGGAGGGCAGAGCGTGTCGCCCGCGCTGCCGCTGCGGCGCGCTGGGCAGAAGCTCCTGTCGCCGCAGCGATTTTTCGACTTCAGGGCCCGCCCCGCGGAAGAGCACGCCCCACGAGGCCGCCCACCTGCCAGATCGCAAGCGGCCGTTGGCCGGCTGGCTCACGATGGGCCAGGCCGCCGCCCCGGCCCCAGCCCAACCGCACGGGCGGCACCCGCAGGGTCCGTGGACCCAGCTGCGCCGCGCCAGGCGCGCGGCGCGCGCCCGCGAGCTGGGCTACATCGGCTGGCGCGCAGGCGACGGCGTCACCGTCCTGGTCTGCCCAGCTGCCGCCCGGGCGCTGCTGCAGCAGCACGATGGCGGCGGCCCCGGCCTGGAGAAGCCGGACAAGCTGCTGCTGCTGGAGCTCTTATGCCCCAGGGACATTGAGAAACCAGGGTTTGGGCGCACCCGAGAGAGAGAGAGAGAGAGAGAGAGAAAGAGAGCTGCAGTCGTGGGTCGAACCATCTTCCAGGATTCGTTCTCTTCCGTTGGACGTTTCAAAGTCCTGGTTAGCAATGTCCTGGCTTACGGTCGGGAACTCTTGGATAGCGTGTCACGCCGCCCTCACCACGCTTCCTGTCCCCCCCCCCTGGCGTCCACAGCCTGAGCCTTTCCCAGCCTCCCGCCCCGCGGAGAAAAGCGACACGCCATCAGCTCGCAGGGCATCGCGGGGGCCGCCGCGGGGACACGCTGGGCACAAATTCCCAACCGTATCTGCTCGTTCTCTGCGGGTGGAAATTTCAAAGCCTTGGCTCGCGATGTGCAGGCTTACGGCGTAGGTGCTGAAATCGGGAACAGTTCGGGTTCGGAAGGTGCTCGGTGTTCCTTGGGTTTACGTCGGGCCTGTCCCTCTTCAGGACGAATATTCCAAAATAGTGAAACAAATAGTCTGGGGATTATGTGTTGACATGTTTTGAGCATTTTTATGTTATGTTTGGGGTACTTTTCATTTATCGTCCAAAATCGGCCTGTAGGGGGACAGGCCCGACTTAACCTTGGGTCCTTCCATGGCTGCACCTCCAGCGCTCCTCGCCCACACAGGAGCCTGCGGGGGCCAGGAAGTCGGGGGGGGCTGCGAAAGGTGCCCCAGGCCCAAGGTGCCCCAAGCTTTTCGCTCCTGCTGTTTGACCACACAGACGTCTTCGGGGGCCAGGAAGTCGGGGGTGTTGCTAACGGTGCCCCAGGCCCAAAAGGTGCCCCCAGCTTTGCGCTCCTCTTGTCCGAGCGCCTGGTGCCTCCCTGGGCCTCGGGGAGGGGAGGCTCTGGAGGCCGCAGAGGCCTCTGTGGAAGTCCTGGGGGCATCTTGGGCCAGGGACACACTTCTATCGAAGAAGAAACAACCACATGAACAAATCTTTGGCGCTCCGCGCGGATTTCTTAGATCCCCGCTGCGCCCCCCCGGCGGCGTCTCTGGCGCCGCCCCTGGCGCGCTCCGCGCGCCAGGGAGGGGGGTCCAGCGCAGATTCAAGACATCCGCGCAGAGCGCCACAGGTTTATGTTTACGCAGTTTCTTCTCCTGGCAGCACCAGAGGCAGGGGCTCCGTTCCTCATTTCGCGCAGCTTCTGGTGGCAGCCTGACTGCTCACGACGTCGACCCCTGGAGGCCTCGGCCCCTTCCCTCCCCCGGGGCCCGCTTCGGATCCCGAGCCGTCCCTGTGACGGCACGCGAGGCCCGGCAAGGGCCCGCCGAGGCCGAAGAGGGGGGAGCACATGCCGTCGTGATTTGTTTGTGACCCGAGGGGGTGCTTCGACATGGTCGCGTCGCTCAAAAAGTCACGACGGGAGGTCTTTTGTGGAAATTGGTTGGCCCCCGGGGGCCCTCGCCGGGCCGCGGGACCGTCAAAGAACGACTCGGGATGAAAAGCCTGCCCCGGGGAAAGGGTTGGGACTTCCGGCCACCGCGCATTGAAAAATCAAGACGTCGCACGTCTGGGCATGGGTCCCCTTAGATTCGCAGGCCTAGAGGTTGACACCAACACCAATATCGGCGGTGTGCCTCCGTGATAGTGGTCATATTCCGGCCTCGGTGATGGTGGTCATATTCTGGCGTCCGAGGTTCGGGGGCCCCCAAACGGTGCGGTGACCACACCGTGCGGTGAGTCGGTGGGGATTCGGGGTCACCGCACGGTTTTCGGACTCGGGTCGTTCTCCGAGGGCGTCTCGGGGGACAGGGGCCTCCGAGGTCCCAAGACCGTGCGGTGACGGACCGTGCGGTGAGGTCTTGGGGGATTTCGAGGTCACCGCACGGTCTGTCACCGCACCGTTCCGGGACTCCCAAGAGGTGACCGAAATATCCACCCGTAGCCCTCCGCAGATTCGAATAAGAGTGAGGGGAAGGTGGGGACATCGGCAGTCTGCGAGACTGGAGAAGCCCACCGCAGGCGCCGATTTTTTCTCCAAACCAATGCGGATCGGTCGCGGGTGGGTCGCAAGTGGGTCGCGGGTGGGTCGCACGTGGGCCGCGGACGGGTCGCGGGTGGGTCGCGGATGGGTCGCGGGGTCGGTCGCGGGTGGGTCACGGGGTGAGTCGCGGGTGGGTCGCGGGTGGGTCGCGGGTGGGTCGCGGGTGGGTCGTGGGGTGGGTTGCGGGTTGGGTCGCGGGGTGGGTCGCGGGGTGGGTCGCGGGTTGGGTCGCAGGGTTGGGTCGCGGGGTGGGTCGCGGGGGGAAGAAGACAACAAACAACAACAGCAACAACACCACCAACAACAACCACAACAACAACACCACCACCAACAACAACAAACAACAATCAACAAACAACAAACAAACAACAATCAACCACAACACCAACCACAACAACAACAACACACAACAACAACAAACAACAACCAACAAACAACAATCAAACACCAAGCACCAACAACAACAACAACAACAACAACAACACCAACAACAACAACAACAACAGCAACAACAACAACAACAACACCAACGACGACGACAACAACAATAACAACAACAGCAGCACCAACAACATCAGCAACACCAACAACACACAACACCAAGCAACACCAAACACCAAACAACACACAACAAACAACAAACCACAACAACAACACACAACACTACCAACAATCAGTTTACCCTCATGCGCGATGTTTCCACACGGAGCATGAGACTATCATGATAACCATCCCCAACAGGGGGGTTATTGTTCTATAGCGGGGTCCGTTATTCCCATTCGCAGATCTCCCGCCCAATGAGGTCTTGCAAACACCTCCTCCGAGGAATTTCAACATATCCCACCTCGAAAACACGTGCCCGCGCCTTGTTGCGCCGATGCGAGACCGCCAGTGGAGCCCAAACCAAGGGTAAATCGCAAGGAAGTATCGAGCGACAGGACTGCTTTGGTGGGAATGGGGGCTGTCGGCGGTGAGGCAAGGACATGGCCCTGAACAGAAAAGGAGGAAGTCTCGAGCAGGCCTGCTGTTGTTGCTGGGAGCGGCGCCAATGCTGAAGAGAGTAGGGCGCTAGTCCAGCGTCAAACAAAACGAAGTCTCGAGCGGGAACGCTGGTTTTGTTGGGACGGAGGTTTTCGGCGGCGAGGAGGAACACCGCCTTGAGTAAGGAGGAAGCCTCGAGCGGGAACCGTGGTGTTGTCGGGACGGGGGCTGTCGGCGGCGAGGAACAGCACCGCCCTGAGGAAAAAGGAAGAAAAACCTCGAGCGGGAGCGTTGTTCTTGCTGGGAGCGGCTCCAATTCAAAAGAGAGTAGGGCGCCAGTCCAGCGTAAAACGGAAGGAAGTCTCGGGCGGGAGCGCTGGTTTTGCCAGGGCGGCGGTTTTCGGCGGCGAGGAGGAGCACCGCCTTGAGTAAAAAAGGAAGGAAGTCTCGAGCGGGAGCGTTGTTTTTGCTGGGGTCGGCGCCGATGAGAGAAAGAGTAGCGCGCCAGTCAAAGGTAAAACGGGAGGAGGTCTCGAGCGGGAGCGCTGGTTTTGCTGGGATGGCGCCTTTCGGCGGCGAGCAAGAGCACCAGCCCTGAGTAAAAAGAGAGGAAGTCTCGAGCGGGAGCGTTGTTGTTGTTGTTGTTGTTGGGGGGCCGGTTTTGGCGCCCCCCCAAGCCGCTCGAGCGTGAGCCTCATTTTCAATGAAAATGTAGCCTGCGCCCAGGCGAGAGCGTCAAAGCGCCTGGGGGGGGTCCAACAATAATAGTTCTTTAGTCATTAACATTCAACAACAACAACAACAACAACAACAACAACAACAACAACAACAACAACAACGCAACAAGCAGAATCCTCACCACGGATTCTCACTTCAGCCACGCACCCAGGGACAACGAATGACCGTTCGGCCCCCTCACTCCGATTACCACCAGCACCGAAATCGAGGATCGTCTTCCCCCTGTGGAGGCACCCCCCCGTGTTGGTGTTGGTGCTCCTTTTGCCAGGCCTCCAGTGAGATCCCGTGAGTTGTCACCGAAGGCGGTCCCCTCAGATCCGGGCGCCGCACTTTTTGTTCACGCCGGGCGTGCTCGCCCGGTCTCGGACCCAGGGGCCCTCACACGATTGTCGGTGTGGCTCGAGGAACGAAGAGGAAAGGTGGGGTTTGTCTACACCTTAGGCGATGCTTAAGAAAACTTGAGTGTTCGGCCAGAGTCTCGGTTATTCTTGACGTTTCAATGTAAATCCTAAGTGTTTAATAGAAGTGTTGGGTTTTTATTCAAGATCTGAGACTATGAATTTCTTAACCTATGATTTCTTAAGCATTTCGCAGGGTGTAGGCCTCCCAGATGGGCTCGGAGTAGATGGGGCCAGAGGATCGCGCCGCATCTCCGATGCATCGGCGATGCAGCGCGACGCGGAGTCCGTTTTTCGCCACGCCAACGGCGCCAATGCATCGCCGGAGCATCGCTAATGCATCACAGAGGTATCGCCGATGCATCAATGATGCGACGCGATCCTTCGACCCTATCTACTCCGACCCCATCTGGGAGGCCTCTAGGGCTCCAGTTGTGATTGTTCTCGATGTTGCATTTTTCTGCAACGTCAGATCTCCGGGTCTTCTAGGATCAAGAAACTGCATGAACACAATTCCTCGAAATTCCGCGCGGATTTCTTGGGTCGGCAAAGCTTGCAGTCCACCTCCATAGTAAGGACGCAGACAATCCGCAAGGGCACCCTTGCATCCTTGCTTCCTCGCCCAATCCTTGGCCAGATTCGGCATCCCAGGGCGTCCCATTCGGAAGGTCCAAGGGCTTTGCATCCTCACCTTCTCTGCGCTCTGACGTTGCGAACAAATTGCAGCATCGCGAAACATCAAGACCAGAGCCCCCGACCCCATCTTCCTGCGCCACTTTTCGAGGCGGCCTGATCTGCGAGGCTCCCGGGGCCCGGAACCGGACGACACTGCCTGGTGTGGAAGTGAACTGATGCAACGTCCAGATCTGAGGGTTCGAGGGCGGGGGGGTGGCGGGCCCAGGCATCCCGCTGCTCCAAAGCCTTCGATGCGTGGGCCGCGGAGGTCCAGACCACTGATCACCCTGAAGTCGGCCTGTCCCTCCACAGGAGGAGTCTTCAAACATGGGCCAAGAATAGTCGGGGGGCGAGCTTTTTGTTTGTGTACGTTTGAGTATATTTGAGTTCTCTTCCAGACTCTGCCTGTGGGAGGACATGCCCGACCTGACACTGCCCCAGGGCGGGCCTCTCGTCCTGAGCCCTGGGCCTCCCCGAGGCCCCGCGAGGGCCCCCGGAGGCCGCAGACGGCCAGAGGCCACCCGCGCCCGTGTGTGTCGGAGCGTCGGATCTCTCGGGGGCCGGAGGAGCCGGAGCGCAAGGAGGACGCAGACGTACAGGAATCCACGTGCGCGCAGGGTTAACTCTGTGTCATCGAGAAGAGAAACAACCCCTGGCCCTCACATCACGACGAAGGCGCGGCCTCCCCGAGGTCCCCGTCTCTGCATCCAGGGCGCATGCATCTGGCCGGCTTGGTGCCATACAGCTGCAGAGAAAGACGCATTGTCACTCTCACGTGTCTGGCCCTCCTCGCTTTGCGTCCCCTCCCAAAGGGTTGGGGATCCTTTTGTTCCCAGCAGCCCTGTGGTGCTGGGTCCTCGTTTTGAAGAGAGAGCGCCGCGCGTTCCTCCCCTTCTCCTTCTCCCCCCCCAGTATACAGCCCTTCGTGGCCACGCAGGGAGCTCCACCGACGGCCCCAGTGCTACCGCCCGCATGCGTTCCCTCCCGCCCAGTGCAGCGCCTCGTGGCCCCGCAGGGAGGTCCACCGAAGAAGAGATTCACAACTGCGGTACCCCCAACTGCAGATGGTTGGGTCCTTCGCCAGGATAATTGGTTGCCCACTCTGCTGCACGAGCGAAATGGGCACGGAAAGAATGGGTACAATGCCGAACAGCAGTTCCCGTTCCTTTTGGAGAGGGCTCGCTGCCCGCGCCGCCGCGGCCTGTGCCCATTTGAGACAGAAGGCCGCCTGCCCGACAGCGGCCGCTGCTGGTTTGGGACGACATGTGTTGTTGGGCATTGTGCAATTTTTTTCCATACCCAGCTCGGGCGTCCAAAATTCTGAGCTCCTTGGAGGATCGGGTCGGGCGAAAGGGGGGGATTGGGAAAGGGGGGGTTACGAAATTTGCTGCATGCAGCTGGTTTCGGCCTCACCGAGGGGCCCATTCCTCGATACATAGCTCCATCCGGCGCCGGGAGGCGCCGGGAAAATCAGCTACGTGAGCTGATTTTCAAACCCCCCCTTTGCTATCCCCCCCTTTCGCCCGACCCGAGAGGAGCACGCGCTCACCGGCGTGTCCGGCGAGGCGTGGGCGCGGCAGCGGCGGGCCTTCCAGGAGGCCGTGGCCGGCGGGCAGGGCGTGCAGCGGCAGCGCCACGGCGGCGCCGCGCGGGCGGCCGCGGCCCTCGCGCGCCAGTGCGCCAGCATCGGCCACGTGCGGGACAGCCGTGCGGGCAAGAGCTGCATCCTCACCAGCCACCAATCACCGAGCGCGTTCCAACACTCGCAGAATTGCCGACTCGCGAACGCCAGAAGTGCAAATGTTTGCTTCGATGTAATGGATCGTACATCACCCGCGCCCCTCCGTGAAGCAAATTCAGACCTTCGCATAGGGGGCGCCGGTGCCGCCGCGTCGTTGCGAGCAGCTTCGCGCGGAGCGCGCCGTGGCCTCAGTTTGCCTTCCATTTCCAGTGGGGGGGGTCAGCTCTTCCTCCTCCTCCTCCTCGTCCTCCTCCTCCTCCTCCTCCTCCTCCTCCTCCTCCTCTGCCATTGAAAAAACACGTGGAACCCGTACCCCCCCCCCAACCCGAGGTTCGGGTCAGATTCGGGTCTCCTGGTTGGCTTGGGGTGGTCTGGTGGGCAGTGGTCATATCCGTACCCACTGCGTCGTGGAGTCTCAGGGAAGGGGCGCCACAAGGCCGAGGCGCAGTGGATGCGGATGCAGACCTACATAGCCCCAAAGGGGCCAGACTTCATACATGTCCACTGCGCCTCGGGCTTCCGTGGAAGGGAACCCGAGACTCCAAGACGCAGTGGGTATGGATACACATCGCGCCCGCAAATCAAGCAGTGGCGACCTCGGAGACCCATATGATGTACACCAGGGTGCTGCGCGGAAAAATCTGGCCCGAGGTAATGGGGCATGACGGGCGCATCGATGCAACATCGGCCGTGTGCTATTCGTTTCATCGCGCGCCCCATGATTAGCTCCGCGGGGGGGAGGCGTTGGCGAGCCCATGGCTACAACTCTCTGTGCCCTGGCATTCCGCGCGGGCCCCGTCCGTGGCAACTAGCCCCGCTTTCGGGCGCGCGACAGCAGCACAAAATACGAATGGGGGAGTCGGAGGAGGTGGAGAAGGGTAACGAGGGGAAGGAGAGGCATGTTGATGAGGTCGGAAGGGGGGAGGGAGGAGGAGGACGGCGGCGATAACCATGAGAGAGCGCGGCCGAACTGTGGTTCGGGCGCCGTGTACGGCGGATTCCCTTTGAAGTTGCCAGCGATATCTCGGGCTCCAGAGCCTGGCGTCCGGCTCCAGCTCTCCGCGAGACCCCGCGTGACGGAGAATGAATCCCCGCATCCTGCTCCCCATCATCCACCTCCATCTTTCGCGTTTCCTGTCGTCTCTTGTATTCCACACTCGGTGCTTGCAGACCCCGGGAGCTGTCCAAGCCGAGCTCGCACTAGCCGCTATGTCAGACGAGCTTTGGTGTATACGGCGCGGTGAAAACCAAGGGGATCTTGGTGTAGACGAGACACGCGCGCTCAGAGTTTTTTACGCGGGTTTCCCTTATCGTCCCCTCTCCAGGAAGCGAGCACTCCATATACACCACCGGAGAATGGCGCTGCGTCTGTGTGACCCCGTTGGTGACGGCAGAGGGGGCGGGGGGGTGGGCACTCAGGTCGCATCTTTCGCCTTCCCTTGGCCTGGCGCGTCCGCCAAGCACGTAGAGAAGAGCGCGATGGATCATTATGTGAGGCATGGGAGCGTCTTGCAGCGCCTCGCGGGTCCAAACGACGAGTCCGTTCGTCGTGAGAAGCACCGACGCGAGTCCACAGTGAGAGCCTCGGAGCTGACAGATGGCGTTTTTTTCAGCCAGGGGGGAGTTTTCTCAAGGGGCACCACCCGCGACCCTCTTTAAGCACGGACATATGGCAACGTGCGGTTCGGTATTGGCACTCGGGTGCCCTGGTGGATTCCGAATCATTTTGCGGGTGTTGTGGGCTGATGGGTTACCAGGGGGCGATGATATGTCAATCGCCATGTGGCAGTGTTGTGGATGTTGAAGTTTTTTCACGCACCTGGTCCAATGAGGCATTGCGCATATAGCCTGCCTCGTGCGGGGTGTCTCGCGCGCATGAGGCACACGTGGATTAAACATCGCGTTGACGTCGCGGACAACGGGGGCCGTGTGCCCCCGCGATTTTCCACCAGGGTGTCCCGCATAACCCTGGTGTATAT